CTGATCCACCAAAATCACCCAATACTGATCCACCAAAATCACCCAATACTGATCCACCAAGACCAACACCCCCTAGTACTGATCCACCAAGATTAGCACCGCCTAGTACTGATCCACCAACATCAACACCCCCTAGTACTGGTCCACCAAAATCCCCTAGCACTAGTTTACTAGCATCTCCCCGTACTGATCCACCAATACCTAGACCCCTCGGTATAGGTCCATCGGTAAAACCACCATGTGCTTGTATACCAATATTGTATGCATCCATCGCTCCATAATCAATATTTAATATAACATCTTTAAAATCATCTGGGCCATATATTGGCGTAAAGCCTTGCTGTCCAAAAATTTGATTTCCAACTCTTAAGATAAACAAAAGTTATAGTCTTATAAAGATTTAATTTAATTGAAAAATATTTACCCTGCTCGTAGATTGTGTTGGTAATAATATTCTGGATTATGAGGTCCTTGTTGATTTGTTACATTACCAAGATTGATATTACCTAGATTAAATACGGTTTTAGCAATATCAACATGAGGTTTTTATTGAAGTAAAACAGTACCTGCACTTGGGAAAGAGCCACCACTTGATGGTATATTTGAAGGACCTAAAAAAAAATGAAAATATCAAAAACTTATAATTAAAGGAGTCTGTTTTAGAACTTTAGCGTTACCATAATGATTAATTCCAGGTTGAACTACATTTGGTTGGTATTGTGGATGTGTTAATCCAACAGTGGGTTGCGTGAATTGAACTCTATTTTGTCGACCTTGTGGATCTACTAAACGAACAGTGGGTTGCGTAGGTTGAGTAACATAATCAGAAGTAGTTCCCGATAGTTGTGTTTGTAGGATGGGTGATCGCACAGTAGGAATATCAACGACTACTTGCTGTTGTGAGATGCCTGTATTAGTCGTCGTGCGTGTGTTACCAGTAAAACCTGTATCGGTTGTTGTGGCAATACTGACTGCATCGTATTGTGTTCCAGTAAGTGTTGGTGATTTACGGCTACTTGCTGGTGATTTACGACTGCTGTCTGGTGAAATACTTTGTCCTCTACTTATCTCATCCATTGAAGTAGGATAGGTAGTATTCCTCGTCCGTGATGCTTCACTAGCATCATGAGTACTTGCTGTTCGTTCAGATGCTGCAGATGATGATGATGATGATGAACTACGTGACGTCATTATAATAATTATGAGAACTTTTAAAACGATAAATGTATTGTTATGTGTTTTTTCTCAAGGCCAAGACAAACCTAAAATGATATTAATTTATGTTGTGACTAAGATAGTAAGAAGAAAAGAAATGAAAACGTAATCGAGGTTTATATGATTATTATGAATCGATCAAGTGTAACGAAGGATAAGGACAAAAATAAAGATAATATAGAGAAAAAAAAAGACCAAGCCATTTCTATGTAATTATTAGCTAGCGTATAGATACATATTAAATAGCACCTTATCTTACTCATTTATTTGACACATGAGATATAAATAATTAGATATATGATTTTTAACAAATCTATGGTCTTTGTTTCTTTTAAATGTTTAGTTGATGCCTTATTATAAAGTATATTCACAAACAGAAATATGTATTGTATGTCGCTAGATGTCACAAATATCCAATTCAAAATATTTTTGCATACGACTTGTTACTATTCTTTATGAAGTCCCTATGCTGATATCTGTATGCCTATTGTTGGTTGATATTTATAGCTATGTATACAGTAATGTACACAACTGTGCATTATTTATTCTTCCATCTTTCACCATTGCTAGTCCATGTATATTTCAGAAGTATATATTCACAGATCTATCAATTAATATACTAGAAAGCGACATATGTGTAGCACAATACAACATTTCTTTTTCTTTTTTTCTATATCGTAATTTCTAACTGAGGTCGCATGTTTTTTCCTTCTGTTCTTTTTCATGCACTGTTATTTGAATGCAAAAACACAAGTTGCCACCGTAGCTGTTGACATAATATTGATAACACCTTTTTTTCCTATTGACATATTTCTCACAACTGTATTACACTATCAAGAAAACACTAACTACAATGTACTTCCTAGTTCATTTTTCTTCATTAATTTTATCGAACTACATTATAAAACGATGTATATGAAATTTTTGTAATATTTATCCTAGCTAAATTTTATTTATTTTAGATATTTTAATTTTAGACTCATATTTATTTATCCATCAAATAGAAATGAAACGTCAATATATATTAATTGGTCTCATTGCCATTATTTTTTTAGGTAAAATTATATCTTTGATTATGTCATTATTTTAATGATATTCTAATCATGTTATGATGTTTATAAGCCTCAGTTTTCTTTTTCTATTTATGATTGTTTGTTCTTATTTTTTACGTAACTAACCAAGTGCTCTTCTTCATTTCTATAGTAGTAACATCATATGGTCAAGGTGGAATTGATCATGAATTAATCTTGAATGATGATATTGACAATGACACTAATACTAGCACAACAATATCATCAACGAGTAAAAATAGCTTAAAGTTTTCAGTCTAACAATTGTTGGCGGTTAATTGACCCAATTTTTTTTTGAATAATTTGCTTGATTATTTAATATTATAAGCAGTTCAATTTTAATTTCAATGTACTGTTCCTTTAGCTACAACAACAGCTGATACAACAACAGCAACTGATACAACAACAACAACAACATCTAATACAACTTCAACAACAACAACAACAAATTCAACGGCTACTACTACAACAACGTCGTCAACAACTACATCAAACAATGGTACAACAACTACAACTACAAGTACAACAACGTCATCAACAGCGTCGCCGACTACAAGTACAAGCACAACTACATCAACGACAACAGAATCGTCTACAACTTCAACTACGGCAATACAACCGACAACAACAACAACTTCAGCTCCAGGTTTAAATATATTTATTTTATTTATACAATATTGAAGTTAAATTTTCTAGGTCGTAAATTTGATGGTCTTTCATTTATGGGTGGTATAATTCTTGCAGCTGGTCTTGGTGCAATTGCATTTATAGTCGTACGTTATTTACGTCGTAATAATCGATATGCAAATATACGTTAAACATTATTATATAGTTCTATGATTAAGCCTCACAAGTATTTATTGAACTTTAATATCCATTATTTTTGTCATAGAAAAAAATATTTTTTGTTGATTTATGTTTATTTTCGTTTGTTTCTTGAGTTGATTACACATTTATATATTTAAAATGCAAAAAACAAACAATTGTTGTGAATTTGCTTATTTTATTCTTTGATTGATTTTTATTTTGTATTATTCAAGAATGAGACCACTATTCTTCTAATTATATATAAAGTATTTCTGCAACAAATAATGGTAATAACATACAATTTCTTGCATACATATAACTTTTTCTTTTCTCTACCTGTAATAATAAAAGAAAAATGAAATAATGTTTTGTGTGCATTTTTTTTTCGATATTTATGTAAATTTTCTCCCTATTTCGTTTTGCAATATTTTCAATTAATATTACTCATGTCATGCATATATAAGAATGTTGATCAACAAAAAGTAAAAACCAACTCTTGTAGTAAATTGTCGTTATGTGGTTGTTAAATATGATAATTAGATATTAAGTCAAACGAACTTATTATTTTGCTTCTTTTCAAAATCATTCAGTTTTTTTTTCTTGTGCTCATTCAAAGAAAAGGACCAAGTTTCTAGGCTACGTTCATTAATATTCTGATATCCCTTAGATATCAGTTTTCGTTTTTCATTTTGAAATATTCAATGTTAACTCGTGTATATTGCATTGATTACATGCAACCGATGAATAACACGGTTCTTTGAAAGGTTTGATCTCTGCTTGAGTTCATGTCTTTATTGATATATTCATTAACCTTGATTGAAGATACCCACATACTGATAAACTGATGACATCTAACAAAAAAAAATAAAGTTAATTTATTAAAATCATTAACTCAATCAATGCTTATTGCTTAATATTCATTGGAGGAAAAAGATTAGTTCTAAAAGGTGTTGATGAAGAATATAAATTTGATTAAAATTATATATTGTTTAGTGTAGAAGACAAGTGGAAGTGTCAATAGAAAAATGACATTGTCCCTAAAGAATAACGAGATATGAATATGTTGTTCATCTGTGCATTACGCTTCATTTATTGTATATCTTGCTAACACATGCTATTAACTAAGAAATTATATCTGCATGTAAGAATACATTTTTGAAAAAATTGTTAAAAAGAAAAAAATAAAGATGTATATTTTCTTTAGAAAGAAAATACTGATCATTTATAAATTTAATAGTACAATACGGTTTTAGATTAATTTTCAATAAAGTGATCTCATGTGTTTGAAAACTACAAGTAAAAACATAAATTAGTTATTCGTACAATATAAAAAACAATCAAATGACTACCGAGATTTATTAGATATAAATTAACCATTGAAGTTATCTGGATTTTTTCTATTGATAACATATAATAAATTTTTAATTGTATCAAGAAAGAGACATAATTCTGAAGCGTCAAGACTCACCCTTAGCTGATCACCTTCCCTAAGTACTGCCATTCTTGCCTTCATTCTCAGCTAGGTTCCTGCCTTCGGGCCTTAAACTACTCTCTGTACAAATTTTTTAAGGGGGGGAGGGAGATTATTTATTGTGTCTCATTTATTTTCATAATTTTTAATTAGAAGAGTTTTTCGAAAAAACTAAAACAATTTCAAAGATTTAGCAAGAAATTTTTAGAACTTCAAAAGGTCAGAAATAATGTTGATCTCAGTCTTTTAAGATTTTTCAGCTCACAACTATGAAAATTCGTCATATTTCGACGTAAATATACTAATTAAAGTTCCAATTTTACGAGAAATCAATTAATTTAAGGGAGTCTTTTTTTGCTAGAAAAGGTCTAGTTCCTTTCGTTTGATGATAACATATATAGTGGAATTAATAGAAAAATCCTAATAAACCCCCCCAAAAAAAATAAATAAATCTTGGAAGTGGCAGCTTGTCAAAAGCCTATTCCAATAGAAGAAAAAGAGATTTTTATCTATTAAAAAATTAATATTTGTTATAGATTTTAATTCTTCATAGGTTCATATAGTCATTTTTCATATGAAGACTCAACATATCTCTAGTATATAAATTGAACACTTTGCGCTGAGAATTTCTTAAATTAAATTCTAAAGATATTCAAATTTGCAATATGATCAAAAATAAACTCCAAATCATCGGAAGTTCAAGAAAATTTGCTTTACCTTCTAATGATTATATCATAATGATCAAACAAATATATTAATTATTTTTTTTCTGCAAACTTATTCATTTTAGTTGCTCACTTGAATAGTAATTCAAGTATATATGTTCTAACCAATATCAGCAGGTATGATGATGATGATGATATAAAAAAATTTTGTCGTTTGTCAGGTTGTTCCTTTTCTTTTTTCATCTGTAACACTTCATGTCAGATGCGTGTACTCTCTCGATTAAGTACAATGAATGAACAACACACTTCTTTAAAGTTTGATCTCTGCTTGAAATCATGTCATTGTCGATATGCGCATCATCATTGATTGAAGGTGTCCACATGTCATCACATGGCGGCAAGGTGAACACATTCAAAAAGAAAAATGAAACTAATTTATCAGAATCTTAGTTTCTTTCTCTCTCTCCAAATTAATACTCATTGCTTGATAGTTTCATTGGAGAAAAAAAAATAACATTTAATTAGACAAGGTGTTGATGACGAACACAAAGTTCATTAGAATTAGGTGTTGTTCAGTTTGAAAAAAAAAAGAACGAATGTCAATAAGAAGAATAATATTGTCCCTAAAGACCATCGAATATAACAGTTCATCTGTACATTACGCTTCATTTTGTTTTCATATTATACGAACTAATAGATCAATTTCCACATACAGATTATATTTTAAATAAAACTCAATCAAAAACTTTTCACCATAGTTTTTCTTTCTAATGAACATAACGAAAAAATTACATTATGTCTTATATTAAACAAACAATAATTCAAATCTATACTTCGATCAAAAAAAATAAAACATTCCTATTCTAAATACCATCAATCTTGTTGATTATGCAAACTAATCGATTTTGTCTCAGCAACTGATGAGTATACACCTGCATGTATACATTTCTCATAATAGATCAATTGTAAATGCATATATATATATAGACATTCCACATTGATCTGATTCTATTGTATTATCATCATTTTTAATCGTTTATCAAACAAAATTCTTGCTCTTGTTTTTTTTTCTCTTCATTATTATTCGAAACGAGACAATCATAATCATCATTTGTATTCGTTCTTCTATGGCATGTGTCTAACAAGAGAGAGAGAAAGAAAAAACGTGATGAATAGAATGAATATAAAGTCAATGGTTTCCCACT